TTGTCAAACTAACTTGTGGCTGTAATAAAAAAATCAAAAGTAGCGGTCTCTCCATATCTTCTTTTACTAGTGGAGATGATCCTAACCTGTCATTTTCAGCATTCTGGCAAACGGTGGCATATGTTTTACTATATAGCCAAAGATGATAATATACTGGGTCATTATGTAACTATGAGCATGAATTAGTTAACTGACATGAAATTTGGCTACAGTATTTTGTAAGACGGAAGAAGACTCATCTAAATGAAGCTCTTGAGAAGATTAAAGCTGGTAAAATTTCTACCCTTGTTAAAATCTTTATGTTTATCTATGAACCCTGGACTTTTGTGCATCTGACTATGTTTTTACATTTTTTATTCCCATTGTTTGGCAGAGCTCATGCTTCTTGGTTTCATCTCATTGCTGTTGACATTTGGGCAGAATTACATTAGTTCAGTGTGCATCCCTGTACACGTTGCTAATACTATGTTGCCATGCAAGGCTCCGGAGGTTAAACCAGTGCAACTGGTTGTGCCAGGTGGTGATCATGCACCTGCTGTAACTAATGAAGGTCACAGTAGAAGACTCTTGTCACAGATGATAATGGATCTGTCTTCGAACAGAAGGGTTTTAACTGGAGATGCACCGCCTCACAAGTGTGCTGCCGTAAGTAGATCCTCTTAAGGCATCGTGCTTTCCTGACATTCAATTCAACTAATAAGATGGTAGATAATTTGAAAAGGTCTGGAGAATGTGCAACTGAGGTCAATAAGGGAACTAGTTAAGGAAAGTGTAATCAACCCAAAAGATTTGGGGTAAAGGCATTGTTATTTTTCCAAAGAAAACTTTGCATCTGTGGTGTTCCTGCTAATGCAGAGATATAATTATAAGACTCATTGCATAATTGCCAAACCAAGATCACATACATGCTAGAGCTAATTGTTCCAACATTGCTTCTGTCTATATAATTTCATCTCCTGGCCAATCGGATTCTTGTCCATTAACTCTAACGAACAATAGTGTCTAACATTTCTCCTGCATTTTTTAAGCCTCATGCTTGTATGTTTTCGTTCATGCACGACTGATATGCAAATTTAATTCAATGTTATGGCTGTTAAAATTTGAAGGAAGCAAAGTCTATTAACTGTTATTCACATTTCAAAGTTTACACTTTTATAAAGCTTCCATAGTTATAGCTTTCCGTATTTCTTTTATTCTTCTTAAGATATACCTATTATAAGTTACAGATATAGAGTTTAACATAGTTCTGTCAGTTACAATATTTGTGTTTTTTTGTTAACAGGGTAAGGTGCCACTTATTTCGACTGATGGTCTTCATCAGTTGCATATCTTCATATTTTTCCTTGCAGTCTTCCATGTTTTAAGTTGTGGTATTACAATGGCCCTTGGAAGAGCGAAGGTTTGAGGACTTTTTTTGAGCAACACAAATTTTGTTTACATTTGTATACATTCTTCATTGAACAATACCTTGCACGCAGATCCGTAAATGGAAAGACTGGGAAAAGGAGACTCAGTCTGTTGATTATGAATATGCAACTGGTATTTCTTTTTCCCTTTGATGCTATTTTCTGACGGTATTTTAGCTACTGCTTGAGAAGCTTAATTTGTTGTCCTTTATTATGCTATTTCTTTCTTGGGATATAAGTTCTTTCTCAATGGAACAAAGTTAGATCTTGAATCAGCTTAGTGCCTCCGTTAATATGTTGCTAAATTGGTTATCGGTGCAATCCTCTTAAGGGTGCAATTCCTCTTAAGGGTTATGTCACAATGATGAAGTTATGATATGTCTAGATAATCGAAATGCTAGTGTACACTTAGAGGCTATTTGCTTTGTGGATTGCATTTTGATGCAAGTTAGGGATTTTGAAAAACCCATATTTAGGATATTGTTTCTTTGCAATGAATATTAAAGTGGATTTGTATAAGGGATAAAATCCAACCAAATTTTGTTTGGCTGCACATGAATTTTGTTAAGAATGTGTGACTAAAATCATGAATTTGGTTGAAATCAGCATAAAATCTTAGGGAATTATATTTAATGCATCTATTCTATGTTACACACACATATATGAGAAAAATGGGTATGCTTGGTACAAGCACAAACTTGGTGGTTGATAGGAAGGTGGATGCATCTCAACCACTCATTTAATGGGTGAACAATCATGTGGGGATTGTTTTTAAATGGGCACCTTTAAATGTGGTGGAGAGAAGAGCCATTTCACTAGTTAAGCACCAAATTTTTTGCTGCGTAGTCAAGGCAAACATACCATTATATATATATATATATATATATATATATATATATATATATATATATATATATATTAGTATATATATATATATATATATATATAGTATTATATGAGAATGATGCGTTATGCAGGTGGTAGCCCTCATTTAGCAAAATGAACTACAAAGAGATTTATATGTCAGGCCGTCCACACTTTTTGATGTGGCCTTGATGTAGGCGTGAGTTTCAACAGCATTAATACTATCTCTCTTGTAGCAACAATTGATTCACCACCTCATACCCATTATTATATATAAGTCTCACAAATTGTCCATCTCTTGGTAACTTAATTAGTAGAATGGGTCGCCAATGCGCGCGTGTGTATGTATGTATGGACACACACACTTATTGACCATTTCATTGGGATTTTATGTCTATTAAAATGTTATAAGTAATTAGTGAATAATTAATGTTATTGGATGGGTTTATAAACAGTGCCATAATGAGGATTAATGTTTATAAAGATTAAATGGATGAATTGATAGAACATGATGACTTTTCTTTGGTAGAATTTTATAGTCTTGCTGATGATTTTTCTTTGGTAGAATTTTATAGTCTTGCTGTTTCCTTTGATGAGAAATTTTTGATGTTTTCTTATACATAGAGAACAAAAAGATCATAGGAAAGTGTGGAGTTTTTTTAATAACCCAGTCCGAAATTGAATCCAAGATTGTGTGAGTCATATTGGAACTACCATGATTATCTGCGATGGGCAAGTGTGGAGTTAAAATAGTTGAGATGTCAGAGATAACTAGTTGAGGATTAATGATTATTTTTAGGGTAAATTACACCAAATGCACACATGGACAAGGACTCTCTACATTCTTGATTATAGAGAACTTCTACAATTAGTTATGTATTTTAATAGCGTTGGATCATTTAGTGGGCCTCATAATTATAAAAGAACTGTTAATATAATTTATAGAGCGAATATCGTTCATGGGGACCATTGAGCGAGAAGGAGATGTAATTGGTGAGTGTTAGAGATTCTCTACAACCAGTGATATAGAGAATCTGATTCTCTACCTCCCGCACACCTACGCAGAACCTCTAGTGCAAATAACTCATCGATAAACAAACATGCACAATATATTTCATGAATAAGTGACTGGTTACTTCAATTTCCAAGGGCTATTCAAAAAGCCCACGGCTCGGACTTAGCCTGATTTCAGCCGAGCCTGTACCCGGTTTGGGCCTGGGAAAAGATGGTTGATAACTTGATACTTATAATTTATAATTACCTAGAAATTATATTCTAACGATATTAAGTGCTAGTAAATGGGTTGGGGGTGTTTATTATTATTATTATTTCTCTTCTAGGTGTTTTGTTTGGGGGGTGGTTGGGGGTGGGGATGTGCAATTTACCTTATAATATTATACTGTAAACTAAAAACTGTACTATAAACAAACATTATTAACTCATTAAATTAAATACAAGTTTTTGGCAAATCCAAGTTCATTTTTCAATATTTAAATGAGCAAAACTTCATGAATGAGTTAATAGGTATAAATTTTATTAACTTTATGGAAACTATAATATAAACTGAAAATAGGTCAAAAATATTTTTTTATTTATTTTACTTTTCTTTCCATTTTCTTGAGTGATCCGTGATTTATCATTTACGAAGGTGAACAATTACATCTTCCCCCCTCAATAGAAGCTTTGTGGATGGATTTCCTAATTTTTTTGTTAACAATGCTCAAGATGTAAGAGAACAATATGTTGCCTTTTTAGTTTCTTATTAGACACAATGGTGGGAGCCTCGTGCACTGGACTACCCTTTTATTGGACACAACAATAAAATAATAAAAGAAAATTCAAGAAGAAATACAAACCAAAAATTGGTGTTCGAGAAGGGATTCGGGCTTGCACCTACAAAATCAAACAAAAAAAAGCTTTTATTACTATTAGACAGGAAAATAATGATAAATTAAAGCATAACCAAAAGAAATCTTTTCCATTATTCTTATACTTATACACAAAGACATATATGACATTTTTTATAAGAGAAAGTTGGGAAAGGTGATGATGGAAGTTGAAGAGATGGAATAATTACTAGTTAATTAATTGTGGTATTAGTGAGAGTTAGTGGAGGAAGGTTTATGAGTGAACGGTTATATAAAAAATTAATGGTAATTATTGGAGAGGTTATGAAAATTGAATATATATGTGTATTCATGCATGCTTTTATTTATATTTTTATCCATCTATGTATGTGATTTATGCATGCATGCATGCATGTGTTATATAAGGTGGAGGGCATTCTGGGAAGAAATGTTTTAATATCCCAATCCATTTTTATAATAATATTATATTATACATACACACACATATATACAAAAGGTGTGGACCTCATCACTCTATCTCTTAGTAACTTACTTAACAAAATGAGCCGCCACCTTATACCCATCATTCCCTCTTCTATCTTATTGTCTTGTTTGATCTTCTCTCCCTCTCCTATCTTATTGTCGTATTCCTTGGCCTCTTTCCTTTTGTTATCGAGTGTTTTCTTTTGCTCTCTTCTTGTTCCTTTTTCTCTTCTTTTGTGCTTGATGACGTTTCTGATAAGTGATGGACTATATATTCTGTTTTTGGTGGGTGTTTCTTATTCCATTGTTAAGGTTATTTGTTTTGAACGTTTTAATTAGTTTTTGATAGTATTAAAAAACTGAGATTAAGTCTTATATAGATGCCTAGGCAGCTAGGCCTTTATAACCAAGTAGCGTTTACTTTGTCAAACCATCTTTAACAACCTTGCATAGTAGAAGAAAGTCAATGGTCGGTCAGCAGAGGTATTAGTACTTAATCTTAGATTCTTCCAGTTTTGTGTGTACTAGTTTAGAATTTTTCTATGTTAATGCTTCTAGGTGGCCACACATCTTGTATTTTTTGAATGATCGGCTTTAGTGGGGTTCGACCTCCTTGACCTGACTCCCATATCACTGTAGTCCTTGATCTTCTAGACACAATACCTCTAACCTCATCCTGGTACTTACACTACTTATTGTTGTTGCTCCATGTACTCATTTCAGATCAACGAAGAGTCAGACTTACTAATGATATCTCTTTCGTGAGGCGGCATGCAAGTTTGTGGAGCAAGATGAAATTCTCCATTTATTTTGTAAGAATTTTCTCTTCCAGTTAATCCTTGTTGATTTTGATTGAAACTTAATACGCACTCGCTTTACCCAAAACCTGCAACTTCTCATTTTTAGATCTGATAGCATAAAGCACAAAATTTAAGGATTCTGTATTTAGGGCTGCTAATCAAGGACCAGACTACATGATGATGTGCAGTATGCTTATTATATTGGTCTTTGACATATCAAACGTAGTTGCCATATTTTCGTACAAACTATACGTCATTTGTTAAATTTGTGTAGCAGCCCTTGTGACATTATTATTATTATTATTTTGTTTTTCTGCAGTCAAGCTTCTTTCGTCAGTTCTTCAGTTCAGTTCGCAAGGTTGATTACATGTGCATGAGGCATGGATTTATCTCTGTAAGTTTTTATAGTTAAGAAAAAGTAAGGCTTATACCTAAATGCATTGTGTTAACTGTTTATTTTTTTATAGGTCCATTTAGCTCCTGGAAGTAAATTTCATTTCCAAAAATACATCAAAAGGTCACTTGAAGATGACTTTAAGGTGGTTGTGGGCATCAGGTACAGGAAAATGGGACTATTGGTACATTCGTATCAATTGATAGTGTCCCATTTTGATGATTTGAAGTTCAAAATTTATAGCATCTGGCTTATTCTGTTTTATTTGTACACAAAAATAGGAATGCGGTAATACAATCGTCATTATTATGAAGATTCTACTAGTATATTGCATATTTTAGTTGTCCTGGGAGTACTTTATGCATTGATATTATAAACTCTATATAAAACTTAAGATTTTCAGGAGGATAATCTGAAAGCCCTTCAAACACACACACACACACACACACACACACACACACACACACACACACACATATATATATATATATATATAAAATCAATTCAAGTACTTCATTTTGCATCGATTTAATTTAATTTCTGAAATAGGTAACAATGAGTATCTTTATTAATTTAATTAAAGTTTGCTATGTTTTCATGTGGCCAAATTACCAGATTGGTATTTTTTCTTGACCCACTTTACCACTTCGGTATTTTTTGTTACACCAATGTCATTTTGGTATTGTTTCTTGGCCTAATAGTCAAATAGGTCCAAAAGTTAAACTATTTGATATTAATCCCTCAAATCTTAATTAATTTGATATTAGTCCCCTCAAATCATCTGAAATCGTCTGCCCCCCCCCCAAAAAAACATCCTTTGCGCGCTCTCCCCCTGTGCTCCGCCGCCTTCCACTCCCCTTTCACGTTCTCCGACCCCCCTCCCCCTGACCACCAAAACATCGCCCGGCCGCCTTTCCTCTCACCTTGCCATGGTGGAGCTCAAATCCCGCATCCTCACCTCCCTTTCCAAGCTCTCCGACCATGACACCCATCGCATTGCCATCGAGGACCTCTAGTTCATCGTCTCCACCCTCCCCCTCGATGACGTTCCCATGTTCCTCAACTCCCTCTCCCACGGCCTCTTCCTCCACCCGAGACCCTCCATCTTGTCTCCTTCCTCGTCTTCTTCTACTATGATCCCATATCGACCCATTTGCCCAAAATAATGACCTACCATCAGATCTGCCGTGTCCATCGTCACCCCTGTGCTCCGCCACCTTAGATTTGAGAGTTGATGGTTGTATCTTGGGATGATGGACACGCCGTGGGTCAAGAAAAATACCAATCTGGTAATTTAGATGTTTCCATGTAAAGATGGCTTGTAGCATGTGAAATCTCTTTTTCTCATTAAATAATGTGTTGTTTTGGTGAACAATTGTATTCAGATTTTTCTGTAGATTCCCACAATCCTCAAGTCCCTTTGCCTGCCACAACAAAAAAAAAAAGACCCATTCCATCCCGCCCTTAGCCTCACATGGTACCACATTATATGTAGCGATACATATATGTACCATTCCAAGACGGAGCAAGGAAAAAAAATTGACTGGAGGCCAATATCAATTTTTTTGACCATCAGGGCTAGTGAAGATTTGAGGGACTAATATCAAATTTTTTTGGCTGGAGGCCAACTTTTGGACCTATTTGACCATCAGGGCAAGGAAAAAAAGCCAAAATGATGCCGGAATAACCAAATATACCAAAATGGAAAAGTGGGTCAAGAAAAATACCAATCTGGTAATTTAGATGTTTCCATGTAAAGATGGCTTGTAGCATGTGAAATCTCTTTTTCTCATTAAATAATGTGTTGTTTTGGTGAACAATTGTATTCAGATTTTTCTGTAGATTCCCACAATCCTCAAGTCCCTTTGCCTGCCACAACAAAAAAAAAAAGACCCATTCCATCCCGCCCTTAGCCTCACATGGTACCACATTATATGTAGCGATACATATATGTACCATTCCAATGCATACCTTCTTCAAACACATTCCTTTCCAAGTTTTGTGAACATTCCATCTTGATGGATCAGGGCGTAGTTTGATTTGAATATATAAAGATTCCCCACTAAACAGGTTGGGGGCGCATAGATGAACACATCCATTGCTTTATTTCCCTTCTGTTTCGTGGTATGCTTCAACTTTTAAGTTATTCTCGTAGCTGGTTTCTAGGAGTATAATATGCTGTATTAATGCATTCCTTGTTGTAGTTACTGCTCATTTTTCTTACTAAAATCCTTGTGATTTCTACTATTTTCTTGCATCTTCATCTACTGCAGACTAGTTGTCTGCATCAATTTTTTTTTACTGTGTTCAAGGAGATGCAAGACAACTTACATACTTTGATTCAAGCTGAGCTTTATTTACATTCTCAATTCTAACCTGTCTTTTTCTATCATCCGACAGCCCTCTTTTGTGGGTTTCTGCTGTGATCATCTTGCTTCTCAATGTTAATGGTAAATAATCTTGCAAATTTGTTTTGGATATGAGGGTCTTTAGGAGGCTTAATTTTTGAAGCTTATAAGTTGTGTTGGCTTTTAGTGACATTTGACTTTTATGATAAAAATGCTACAAAAATTAAATGGGTATAATTGTCATTTAATTGGTTAACCTAGCTTATATAGATGAGCTTATATGCTAGTTGTTTAAAAATTGGGCAACCCCAACTTTCTTAAATGGGACTTAGCTTGTTTATTTGGGATTTTTCAAACCGTATGTATGGAAAAGTTTCTTAAAAGATCGAGGAGCTCCAACATTTTAAGAGTAGTGATAACTAGACTACACTTCTCAAACTACTCCTACACTACACTCAAACATTGTAGGGTCCATGACGACTCATCAATTTTAAAAACAATTCAAGTGAGAGGACCCCCACACATTTGTGCCAACTAGTGTAGGTGTAGTTTGGAGTGTAGTTTAGTTAAAATCATCCCTCTTTTAAATGGGTCTTAAAAAGCTTCCTTCTTTGGGATTTGTCACACACACATATATGAAAAAGTTAGCTTAAACGCCAATTTGAGCGAAAAAAATAAGCTCCTCAAACACCCTCATAAAATTCCTTTTCCCCTGTTACTGATGTCTTTTGCTTCAGGATGGCAGTTGCTAATGTGGATATCTGTTATGCCATTGATTGTAAGGAATCTTTAGCTCCTTATTTAACTTCTGAACAAGAAAGAGTATTCATATTCTGAATGGTTTTTCAGTTAATCTTGGTTGTTGGAACGAAGCTCCAGTCTGTAATCATAAAAATGGCTCTTGAAATCCAGGAGAGACATACCATAGTTCAAGGGATTCCTGTTGTCCAACTTACTGACCGTCACTTTTGGTTTGGTCGCCCTCATGTTATTCTGCGTCTCATTCATTTCATATTATTTCAGGTATACCTTCTATATAATTTAGCTATAGAACATTACAAGTTTTTAATAGGTATTTACTGTTCTCTAACATTGTTTCTCATTTATAACATACTGTTAATGAGACATGAACTATTATGATTTAAGGGCAGGTATTCTAACTTTACTGGTATTGACATTGACAAGGTAATTCATGAACTATTATGATCTAAGGGCAGGTATTCTAACTTTACTGGTATTGACATTGACAAGGTAATTCTTCAAAATCTACACGGGCAAGATTCTTGATCTGTATGTTTACACAGGCACACACAACACATGAAGGATACAAAAGAAAATATTTTCCATCCAAATTCTAATTCACTCGACTCCTTTTAGAAGGATCTGGAACCAAATTTTCCCGTCTGATTTCAATATAGGGGCATAACTTGCAATCCACTTTATCTCAAAGTGTTATCATTTAAGTATCTAAATCCGTACTTATGAATTTTCTTGCTAGGTCGAGTGACCATAGAATAGACAACTGAAAGTTGTAAACTGTGAGATAAATGTTTAGAATGTAGGAAACAGTAGGAGCTGCTTTGCAAACATCTAAAAGTCTCAGATCATGATCAATGGTCTGGATATCTCAATCAACATGCTGCTGGAAAAGTAGCGGTTTGCAAAGGTTTCAAATTGTTCAGAAGACAATCGCTCTTGAGATTCTCAACTGTTCCAAGGAATGGTTTGGTCAGCTAACTGTTTTTGGTTGTCCATTTAGATTCCCATGGTATAACTAATCTTGTTAAGCCCATCTACCATAGTGCATGTAAATGATCCACACTCTTCCTTATTTAGATACTGCGACTGTCCTATTAACGAAACACTCTGGGTTGTTTCTTTCTTGCTCCTACTGACAGTAGGAACAAAGGTACCTCTTACTCTAAACATAAGCATAATCTAATGGTAGAAATTATCCATAATCTATTGCAATGTTTCAAAAAGCCTCCGTAAAGCCGGCCTAGGTATACGCCTAGGTCTAAGTGGTACCTAAGCCTAGTGCCTAGGCGATACCTAGGATGACCACAGGTTTTGAGAGCGTCTAGGGGAGCGTGGACTGCACTAGCCTTGATCGTGATTTCTCCCGTTGCAGTTTCCATGGCATCCAATCTTCTTCAAACTCCCCCATCCTCCAACTATAGACACCTCCTATATCTCCTCCAACCTTTAGCAAGACCTCCCCCCACAACTCAAATGAAGAAAGAAATATGCCTAGGTGCTAATTTGACGCCTAAACTTTCTATAACATTGGCATTTACTATAAACTATTGTAATAAAAAGATAGGAAAGCTGCTTAGGCCCCTCCTACGCTTCTGCCTAGGCTTTAAGCGGTAGGTCCAACACTTAAGCCGTTAAGCACTTTCTGTAACCTTGATCTAATGGTAGCCCATACAACTAGTCAGCACTGGTGCACAATGTCTCTAATCAACAAGCCTTTCAATGCCTGCATGACAAAAACAATCCAATTGATCTCAACCAGGTCAATCAGGTGTTCAACAAAATATGAGATATTACCCCCAAAATATCTCCACTCAGGTTTCTCTAGCTTTCTTGTGGGGTTTCTCCAATGTGGTTCTTATGGCAGCACCTGATAGTTAATTTCCAAAATTTAGAAAGGAATTCAAACTTAAATGTAAGTGTATTGTGTGATTTTGAGCCCTTAACATTTTTGACCAAATTTTTATGTGTCATGTGTTGATATTTTTACCTAGAAATCAAACTTGATAGGATTTTTATGCATTTAAAATTATGGGTAGAATCATGATTCAAGATATTGGATATATTTTTTTAACTTAGTGTGTAGAGAAATAGAAAAGGTAAAATTATAATTCATATCTGTCTCTCTTAAATGGTGATTAAGAGGATTATACAAAGCGGGTATAAATATTGGCCCAGTTACCTAAACACCTAAATAACTAAACATTTAATAACATATAACACTCTCCCTCAAAGATGTCCAGCTTGTCACACATACGAACAAAATAAGTAGGTAAAATAATCTTTGGTGCTCGGAGTAATTGAAGTCATCCTGTATTTGTTTGCTTCATCTAAAGTAGCCCTAGAATTAGAGATAGATTTACAAGTACAAGGAGAGCTAGAATAAATTCAAATAGAGTTCACAAGAAAATCATCGCCTTTGTGTTCAGTAGTAGACAACTATATCAGTTGTAGGAGACCATTGACATATGAATCAAGTTTTATAAAACCATATCAAGGCTAGAAGAAATTCTAAAAAACCTAGGTGGGTTAGCCGGAAAAAACCCAATGCGGGTTAGCCAGAAGAAACCCTAGGTGAGTCAGCTAGTAGGCCCTTGGCTGGTCAGCCAGTAGTAATAAGGGAAAAAGAAAGATCCTAGATCAATCCATCGCTCATTCGCCTGTCTGATCTTGATTTCAACGCCATTTGACGAGAAAGATGAAAAAAATCAAGATGCTTGTTGAAAAGTGTAGCGAAGTTCGAAGATCTCATCAAAGATCTGGACGTTGAATGGAATTGATTGGGGGTAATGTTCACATGAACAGCAATCTGGTTAATGTTCACGATATGAACATGAAGGTTGTTAACAAACTTTTTTTTGGAAGAAGATTCTGAAGTCAGTCGAAGTTTTTGTTGAAGTCGAAGATGTTGCCGAAGCTGAATATGTTATCGAAGACAATCAAGAGGAAGCATGGAGGTGATAAAACCTCTCGGCGACCCTAAGGCTGAGGAAGAAGAAAAATGTCTCTCGAGGTTTAGAAAGGTTCTGATGCATGTAGAGGCATAGAAAGGACAAAGTTATTATTTCTAAGTCTCTCGAGGTTTAGAAAGGTTCTGATACATGTAGAGGCATAGAAAGGACAAAGTTATTATTTCTATCTAACCTTAATCTCTGTTAAATGGCGGGAGGGTTACATAAGTGGGTATGGATATTGGCCCAATTATCCAAATACCTAAATAACTAAACATATAATAACATGTAACAGGTAGGACACACAATCATGAATTTTGAAAAATTTCAAACAAAACTATATGGACGTATGTCCTGACCTTAATCAGTTATGTATGAAATAGTTTAAAAATAATAAATACGAATATTTCTCTTTTCTTTCTTGTATGGAAGCTATTTATTGTGTTTTTAATTTTTGGAAAGCATTACACTGTTCAGTTCATGGAAGAATGCTTATTGTTTTCGTTCATGTATGAAAAGCATTTGAAGTTTTTTTGAATTTTTTTTTAAGGAACCAAACCTAAGTTCTTGGCTGATGGAACATTAAATCAATGTATTAAACATTTAATGATTTTCAGATGCTGTCAATTTGTTGTTGATTATGCTTGACATGGAAATGATATTTTGGAAAGATTCATTTTTTTCTCACATAATATGTAGTGATTTTCTATTATGATATAAGCACTCACTGGTGGTAATAGGTGTATGGTACGTTACTGAGATTCTTTGTTAAGATTTCTGCTAAATATAAGTAGATATATTTTCTAATCTATAGTAATTAACTAAGAAAACACTTTGCTGTAAAGTAAGCATATACTTTCTAAAGAAATCTCAATTTCATTTTCCAGTATAGGCACTTGGTGCACATGTATTTAACTAATGATGGTAAAAGAAGTGATCTGGCAATATCTGTTTTCATTTAGTATCTGCGCTATTATACTGGAAAAAAATGGGTATGCTTGGTACCAAGCATAAGTTTTTGTGCTTGGTAGTGAGGTGACATACTCCCTCCACTCATTGAAATCGGGGCCCACATTCACATGAATTGGGGAGTGGTTAGAAATTGGAATGAGTGGATGGAAATAGGACACCTCACTACCCAACACAAAATTTGTGCTTGGTACCAAGCATACCTATTTCTCTCATATATATATATATTACTATCACGCATTATGTGGAATAATTTCTTTTCATCTCATATTTCACATGATTTTTTGTTCATATTTATAGTATTTATTACTAGTATCTCTAAAGTGCTGAACACTTTGTTATTGGTTTCTGCAGAATGCGTTTCAACTGATATATTTAGTTTGGATTTATGTAAGGTTTTCTTACTTTCGTTCCCTATGATTTCCTTTATTCAGCTATCATGTTATTAGAAAGTATCCAGTGCTGTGGAGCAGAAGAACTACTTTGAGATGGGATAAAGATAGACTGAAACAAAGCATGAGCAGTTTTTGGATCATGAAAAGTCTTAAGACTCTCTAGCTCCTCTCCTGGACCACCACCACAAGCACTGGATACTTTCTGGTTCTATTATTTTATTATGTCTGCATTAAGGTAACATTTTCAGATGTGTTTTCTGACAGTACGAGTTTGGGCCGAATTCTTGCTTTCATGATAGTCGAACCCTTGTCATCGTAAGAATTTGTTTTGGGTAAGCTTCATCTAACATCATCTTTCATTATAATAACTTAAAATTAAAGCTAACTGTTCCCCTTTTTTGTTAGTTGATGTTTGAGAATACATAAGGCAGGTGATACTTGATATCTTAAATTTTTTAACTTTCCATATATATATATATATATATAATATACATATATACATATATACACATATTATACCATACGTATATATACAATATATATATATAATATACATATATATATATATGTATAGATATATACAGTATACATAACATGATAGATAACATACATATACATACACTTATATATATACAACTATATAGATATATACAGTATACATAATATATATACATATTATATATGTTATGTATATAATATGCTATATCGTATATTATATATTTGTATGTATATGTATAGTGTATACATTACATAAGCATTATATAAATATATAGTGTATTATATATATATATATAATGTATATATATAATACATAGTATATATACTTATAGCATATATATATCATACATACAACATATATAACATATACCATATATACAATACATATTATATAACTATAGCATACCTATATATTATAATATGGAAATGGAGGTTAAATTGGTAGCCAAGTTGCTAGCCAAACACTGGTATGAGTGGCCTAGATCTTGTCCATACATCTACTATTGGAGTTGGTGAAGGGTGGTTGAGCTGCTATCTCTGAGGTATGGATGTAGGGCAAAGAATTAAGCCACATCAGCTAGCCAAGTTACATTAAGCATACCTTTGGTAGCGCAAGGTTTCTCAAGTATTCTCTCATCATATATATATATAAATAGAATAGAATATTATAACTTATTATTATATATTATATATATATATATATAATATATATATAATATAGATGAATGATTCAATATATATATATTAAATATATATATATGAATATATATATATATAGCGCTTAGAGGAAATTGAATTGTAAGGCTTAAATTTCATGTTAATGTCTATATATATACACGCTGTTGTACACAAAATCAGGAAACAATAAAACTAATTTCTTATTTTACAAATATACACAATCTTTATTCTCGAAAACAAATCAGCCTTAAGAATAGGAAAAATATTCCTTACTATTTCCTAGAATAGATTCGGGATTTGCAACGCTCCCCCTCAAGCTGGGCTATATATGTTGATCAATCCCAGCTTGCTAGTCAAATATGCAAATCCAGGTTTTGGTAGGCTCTTCATCAAGACATCAGCCACCTGTTGTGACGTTGGTATGTAGACCATGCAGATGGTGCTGTTGTCAACCTTCTCCTTGATAAACTGTCAGTCTATCTCCACATGTTTCGCTCTGTCATGATGAACTGGATTTTGAGCAACACTAATTGCTGACTTATTGTCACAATACAGTTTCATGGGACCATCACTTGAGATCTTCAAATCCTCCATGAGTCGTGTTAACCAGATGCCTTCACATATCCCATGAGCCATGGCACGGAATCCAGTTTCTGCACTACTGCAGGCTACAATTTGTTGTGACGAGATTCCCCCATATGTAGGTACAATACCCTGAGGTTGATCGCCTATCCATAACACTTCCAGCCCAATCTGCATCTGTAAAAACTTCAATAACTTTGCTTTCACCTTTTCTAAAGAGCAATCCTATTACTGGTGTCCCTTTTAAGTATTTCAGAATTCTGTAAACTGCCTCCAGATGATTCTTCTTGGGAGAGCGTATTAATTGACTTACCATACTGACTGCAAAAACAATATCAGGTCTGGTATGAGAGAGATTAGTCTACCTACTAGTATTTGATAAGATTCTCTATCCAGACTGTGGTCGTCTTCCTCCAAGCCAAGCCTTAGATTTAGTTCAATTGGAGTGTCAATTGGTCTACACCCCAACATGCTAGTCCCTGAAAGGGGGTCTAGAATATGCTTTCTTTGTAAAACGGATATATCAGATCTGCTCCTTACAACCTCCATTTCCAAGAAGTATTTGAGAGTCCCCAAGTCCTTCAATTCGAATTCTTAACTCAAATATGCCTTTAGTTGTTCCACTTCTTTTCGATCATCTCCTGTTACTATGATGTCATCAACATAGACAATTAGTATTGCCTTTTTTCCTTCCTTCGAGTGTTTGACAAAGAGTGTGTGATCAAATTGAGCCTGTAGATACCCCTTGGATTTTACCTCCTTAGTGAATTGTCAAACCATGCCTAAGGAGATTGCTTTATCCCATAGAGAGATTTTCTCAGTTTACACACCTTCCCTTTATCTACTTTAAAACCTGGAGGGAAATCCATATAAACCTTCTCGTGTAAGTCCCCATTTAGGAATGCATTCTTCACATCTAGTTGTTGTTGTGGCCAATCCAGATTGGCAGCTAGTGAGAGCAAAACTCTGATTGTATTAAGTTTGGCAACAGGTGCAAAAGTCTCCAGGTAATCTATACCGTAGGTCTGTATAAACCCTCTAGCCACAAGCCTCGCTTTGTACCTCTCCACGCTTCCATCGACATTATACTTGATGGTGAAAATCCATTTACACCCTACCGTCTTCTTATCTCTTGGCAGATTTACAACTTCCCAAGTTTCATTCTTTTTCAAAACATCTAGTTCTTCCTTAATGACTTGTCTCCATTCCGGAATAGTGAGGGCCTCATGAACATATTTCAGTATCTCTATTTTAGAGATATTAGCAACATAGCAGCAGAAGTTTGGAGATAACCTGTCATAGGAAACAAAGTTAGAAATAGGATGCTTTGTGCAATATCTTACCCTTTTCCTGAGAGCAATTGGTAGATCATATTGTTCTGGTGGGAGTTGTACTTGAACTAGTGCTTTAAGAGCAGAATTTTCTTTGGTCTGGTGGGAGGTTTTAAACTTGGAGCATTCCCTTGGGGTTGCTTTTGACAAGGCTAAGTCTGGGGTATATCTACCCTTTGTCGACATTGTTTTTTTTGAGTATACACGGAGATTAGGGATGTCTAACCGATCCTCCACTTTTGGTTGTAGAAGATCTGACTCAGGCTCAACCAAGTTGGAATTAGGTAGACAGAATTATATGGGACTGATAAGGGTGTATTGGAATCTGTGGGTTGTAGGGGTGACTCCTGAGACTCTTCTTCAATCAAATTCTCCATCTTCATTCAATCAAATTCTCCCCCTGAAGATGAGGTGACTTGAAATATGGTTGGGATTCGAGAAATGTGACATCTTTGGACACAAACACATGTTTTAGAATAGGTGAGAAGCACTTATATTCTTTTTGAGTAGGGGAATAGCCAACGAAGACGTACTTAGTGGACCTGGGATCAAGTTTTGAAAGATTTTGATTGTGAAGGTGTACAAAGACAAGAGCATCCGATGATTTTTAATGATAGGGAAGAAAAGACAAAATGAGGATTGGAATTCTACAGGACAGAGAGAGGTGTTCTATAATTTAGGACTCTAGAAGGCATTGTATTTATGAGGAATAAGGCTGTGAGAATTGCTTCTCCCCAGAGATACTTGGGAACATTCATGGTGAACATAAGTGATCGAGCTACATCCAACAAGTGACAGTTCTTTCTTTCAGATACACCATTTTGTTGTAGTGTATCTGTACACGAGCTCTGATAGATTATTCCATCTTGGGATAGATATGGGCTGAGGATTGAGTTAAAATATTCTTTGCCATTTTCTGTTTTGAGAACTTGAATCAGAGTTTGGAACCGGGTTTGAATCATGCGATGGAAGTTTTGAAAGGTGGTTGTGGTCTTAGATTTTTCTTTTAGGGGATATACCCAACATACTCCCATATGATCGTCAATAAAGAAAATGAACCAGCAAGTTCCAGAAATATTTTTTTACTCGAGATGCCCCCCCAAATATCACTATGTATTAGGGAAAAAGGACGCGACTCAATGTATGGTTTAAGAGGATAGGGTACTCAAGTATGCTTTGCAAGCTGACAAATTTCACATGAAAAAAGATTAACATTTTTATTCAAAAATAAATCTGGAAACATTCATTTGAGATATTAAAAATTGGGATGACCTAACCTATGATGCCATAACATTATTATATCATTATTTGAAATTGTTAGGGATCTTCGTATACGTGGTTCGGTTTCTCCTAAATCTTCAACCACAAAAAGGTAGAGTCAACCTTGCTCTCTATCATTGCCAATTGTCTTCCCCGAGGTCTGCTCCTGTATTTCATGAAAATCAGAGGAAAACTTAGCCCAACACTTTTGATCTTGAGTCTACTTATGGATAACAAATTGCATGATAATTTAGGGACATGGAGGACTAAGTGAAGAATCAGATTTTTATTAGGCTGGAGTGAATCTTTTCCAGCCACGGACTAGTAGGTACCATCAACAATTTAAACCCGAGATTTGTCATTAACCAGTGTGTAAGTGCAGAACGAGGAAGCATTACCTATCATGTGATCTGATGCTCCTGAATCTAAGATCCAGGAGGTATGAGATTCAGGTCCAAAGGCTTTAGTATGAAAGGCAGTACCTTTAAAGGTTAGAGTGTAGGCAACCGTAGTAGGATTGGAATTAGTTCCTGAATTCAGAAGCCGATACAATTGTTCAAGTTGAGCCTTTGTAAGTTGAACATTGGTGTTTTCCTCATTGTTGGATGTCTCTTCCTGTTTTGCTTATGATGCAGACATTAGTGCTTTCGATTTCGCAAAGCTTCAAGGTTTCTAGTTGGCTAATTTGCCATGAAGCTCCCTGTATGTCTCTAGGATGTGTCCTAATTTGTTACAGTGGGTGCACCAGGGTCGTTCTCCTCTCTTATGGGGCTTGTTATGTTGTGGATTTTCTCCAGAACGTGCTGAGGAGTCGTGCGGTCTATGAGTGTAAAGGGCTATGTTTTCCATAAGGTTTTAAATGTTGGATGTCGGGTTCATATCAGACGGTTGAAATCCATGTCGGATAGTAAAAATCAGGGATATATCGGAGGACATGGACTAAATATCGGATTGCTATATTGGGTGGTACGCATATGTATAAT